CGTACAACATCGCTGGTCTAATAGTCATTCTATAGAACTTCTCCTTTAGTCTAATGGGTACTCGTTTATCGCATAGTACACCAAACGCACTCCTCTAATTAAGCCACCCCATCTTAATTTTGTGGACCATATCCACTCCAATCTTCCTAGTCGTTGTGATAATCAATCTTAAATAACGAAAATATTCACTCTTAGGTAGTTCTTGGTTTTCAATCTTCACTTCTCTGCTTCCATTGTTGCTGTTATTAAAATTACACTCCATATACTCTGTTTTAGTTTTGCTTATCCTGAATCCTTTAGATTCAAGTGTTTTTTCTTCGAAATCTCAACTTAGTGTTAATTTCTTCTCTAGTCTCATCCACTAATATGATATTATCTGCAAAAAGCATATACCATGATAACATAAGATGTTGTAAATTATTAGGAATGTACTCAAAATTAAATGGGATTTACACTCAGTTTGGATTGAGGAGAGGGGAAGTTAAGGGAAGAATTAGTTGTGAGGTGAAGGAGAGGAAGGAAAAGAAAAGGAAGGGAAAGTATCCTCCCTCTTGTTTGGTTAGAAAGTACTTAATTAAGGAGAGATATACTTAATTTAAGTATTTTAATATATTATTTTGAGAAACACTTCACTTCCCTTCCGTTTCCTCCGAATTTTTGGGGGAAAGTGGAGTGCTTAAAATGTTTGTACACTCTCTCCCTCATAACTCTTCCATACCCTTCCCTTCCCTTCTAAAAGAATCCAAACATGATTTTAACTAATTATATCCCTCCAAATTCTTCACTTCCCCTCCTAAACCATCAATCCAAACGAAGGGTTAGGGAAAAAGGGGATTTTTATCTCTCATCCATGTCTGACATTTTTACAATTGATGCTTGAATGCTATTGAATGTAGCACACAAAATCAAAACTCTAGATGTTAATGAAACACAGAAGTATTCTTTACATTTTATGCTTGATGAAATCAGAAAAATTGTGATTCTGGAATATTTGAAATTTCCTTTGCATAGGTACGATGGTGCTTTGCAGGGAGGAAGGGAGGAAGGTTTTATAGGAATATTGTCATAGCTTAGAAATGAAAGGACAATTTAACAGCTTCTTCTTTAACTTTCTTGTCTGATTGGTGGATTTTTCTTGTTCAATCAGAGGAAAATGGTGAGGTACCCAGTCAATCGCTGGATCAAACTTCAACTAGTGTTGCAGTTCCTTCTTCTGAGTTGATGGATAAAACTGTTGGAATTACAAAAGTTGATCTGCCGATGGTGTCAATCAAACCAAAATACAGGTTGTGGCTTCTGACTTTTTACTTGATTATCACAGGTTTTATGACATGAAAAGTTGTCACATTTTTCTGTTGCATATTTGAGCTCTCTAGGATGCTTGAGAGTTCTCAATACTTTAGCAATGTTGTTATGTGTTAAAACTTTCTATTTAGCTTCTTCAACAGTTAGATTGTCTTTACAAATTGATATGACACTATTGTTTTCTGTTCTATGTTATCTAATGAGAAACCTTTCTGCAGGCATGAATTTTACCAGAAACCAGAGGAAGTGGTTGTTACTGTATTTGCAAAAGGTGTACCTGCTGAAAGTGTTTCGATTGAATTTGGTGAACAAATAGTATGTTGACATCATTCAATGGTTTCCTTCATATACACATCATTTCACAGTTTTTTTTTATTTTTTATTTTAACTTTTGGTAGAAATATGTGCAGACTGTTACATGCAAAATATATTTTCATCTCTCTTTCTTTCTCTTCTTTTGTTTGGGTTCAAAGCTTAGCGTCACCATTGATATTCCTGGTGAAGAAGATGCATACACTTTTCAACCTCGGTTGTTTGGAAAGGTAATGCACAAACTTTATGTTGCTACCCATTAGTTCTCATCAGAACACTGTTTAAAAGTTTAGATGCCTGGAAATATGGTAAAAAATGCATATTTCTGAGAACTTATAAACAGGAAAATGAGGAATGTCTGTGTAGCAAGTCTGTAGACAATGTGATTTTCTTTAAAAATTAGAGTTTTCCCTCAATGTTCATAATTATGTTTAAATTAATTTTTCATGCATTGGTTGCAGTTGCACTTTAGATGCCCACCTTTTCCTTTTGTGTTCTTTTGCATGATTAACAGATAGTACCCTCAAAATGCAAGTACGAAGTTCTATCTACAAAGATTGAAATCCGACTGGTAAAAGCTGAAGCTATACAATGGGCATCTCTTGAATTCAGCAAGGAAAGCACTATTCCACAGAGGATTAGTGTATCATCTGGTAGGTTGACATGCCTCTATAAAGTGGTGATTTCACGCATCAAGTAATGAAAAAAAAAAAAACATATCTCCTAGTTTTGGGTCTTTTTTATTTTTATTTTTAAACTTCTTGACATTCTTTTTAATCACTTCATCAGTAAATATTTTGTGGGGAAATTATATATGAATGCCACTGTTATTATCCTGTATTGACCCACTTATATATTTTCTTAACTACCTCTCAACATCCTCCTTTTCCCAAAACACATCTCCCTTGCCTCTAAAATTAGTTACCTACTCTTTTTAAATTTCACATTAGGTGGATATTTGAATTTGAGTTTCTTAAATGCCCTCAAGTGATAGGAAGATTACAAACACTCTGATTTTGAAAGTATTTAGGAATAATAAAAATTGAAAAGGCTTCAAAAGGAGGGGTACTCCAAATGGTGGTCCTTTTATATATTAGTATAGATGATTTCTTTCTATACCAATCTAGCTTACTTCTATGTCAAGCCTGAAATGTTATTTCCCCCCCTCTAAAGCTCTGTTACCAAAAAACGCTAACACCCTGGCGAATTACATATTGGTATGCACGTTCCGAAACATGATAAACTTTCGTTCCAAAACGATAAATTTAGTGATCCGAAGTGATTCCAAAAGTTTTTTTTCTAATATATTTCCTTAAATATCACCTTAGAAGGAAAAATATCAAATATAATGAACTAAAATCTAAAATCTAAAATGACTTAAGTTTTGACGAGACAAAAACATCAAAAATGAATATATATATATATATATATATTTGTAAGTGTAACATATACAAGTCTACCCCTATCGTACTACATTTTAGAGTATGTGGCGTATTGCATTACTGTTCCCCGTTCCACGTACTGGAAATATCCACATTCCAAGTACCATAGGATCAAAGGCTTTTATTGAGTTGGTGAGCACAATGCATTAGTGAAAGAAGAATATACACGTGCATCTATATGGGTGTAGATTAGCTTTGGAATGTTGCTTTTTGCTTTTGATTTCCTCTTCATTATATCACTGAGGAAACATTTTTCCCCCGTTGAAAAAGCACATTAGTATCTTGTGTCTAATATCTCATAAGTTATCTTTTTTGGTTATTTGACAGTCAATTGGACAACAACCACTTTGATGGGGGGGCTACAATACCAGCTACATATGGCAACATGTCTCATTTGATGAAGTTGTAAGTGCATATAGTTTATATTTGATCTCTTAGGAGCATCTCCAATCCTTGCTCTATCCCTTTCAATCAAATTTCAGTGAAAATTTGATTAAAGCTTCGACATGATATGGAACACTTAAATCCTTGCTCTTTTCTTCATCAATTTTTTTGAAAACTTCCAAACTTATCATAAACCTGTTTTAACTATTTTTGATGAAAGTTAATTATATAGGAGCTATATGTTTATGCTCTATCTCCATTGGTTTTCAATTATGGGGCTAGCAATTGTTTTGTTTTGCATGTTGAGTGAACTTTTAATTCAATTAAATGTTTTCTGGTGTTTTGTTCATCTTATGAGTGGAGCTATTGTTGGGTTGCCATGATGAAAACATATTTCTTACCTTTTGAAGATCATGATAGCAGAATCGTCTCATTTGTGAGCTCTTCATTATCCTCTTACATTGGCTGTTTCTGCACTTTGTAGGTACTCAAAGACCTACTTACCCTTCCTCAAAACCAAGAAGAGTAGATTGGGATAAATTGGAAGCTCAAGTGAAAAAAGAGGTATGTCTGAAGCCTTTTGGTCTTCTCATATTCTGAGATTAGATCCATCAGATATTGAGAGTCCTAAATTCAGTTTGGGCATGACTTACTGGTTGCATCTCAGGAGAAAGAAGAAAAGTTGGATGGAGATGCAGCTTTGAACAAATTTTTCCGGGACATATATCAAGATGCTGATGAGGACACAAGAAGAGCCATGAGAAAATCTTTTGTAAGACTAACAGCCATTTTAATGTTGAATTAACCTGCCACATCATATGATAGAAAACTCAACTTAACAAGGCTATGTTCCCAATTGCTTATGTCAACTACATGGATCCATTTCCTTCAATTGGTTCTGTTTGCAGTCATGTTCTCAGTTAAGTTTGAGCTGGTCATGTCCTTTCTTATCACCTCAACCCAAGTTCTTTTAGGCCTGCCTATATTTCTTTTAGCAGTCTCCACAACTCCATGTAGATCACATCACTCTTCCTTACAGTCGTGCTAATTGGTCTATGCTGCACATGGTCATATCATCTCTAATGGTTTTTCCTCATTGTATCTTCAATTGGTACCACTTCTAAGTTCTTCCTAATGGATTCATTTCTTATGTTATGTTTTCTTGTAAAACAACACATCCATCTCAACATTTTCACTTCAGCTATGCTTAAATTTTTAGCATGTATTTTCTTAACTGCCCGAAACCTAGTACCATACATCATAATAGGTCTTATAGCAGTCCTATAAAATTTTTCTTTTAACTTAATAGAAATCCTACTGTAACGAATGAATCCAGTTGCAGTCTTCCGTTTCCTTCATCCTGTCCAAATTTCTATGGGTCATACTCTCCTTGATCTCTCCCACTTTATGTTATGACCCAAGATTTTGAAAAATGATCACTCTTTGGTATATCATCCCATCAAGTGTTGCTCTTCTTCATCCTTATTTCTAGTTTTGCTAAAAAATAACACCATATATTCTGTTTTGGTCTAAGAAGTACGGACACTTCTAAGAAGGTGACGTATCCGTGTCGTGTCCGTGTCGGACACCGACACTCTTTGGACACGCTCAGGACACGTGTCCGACACTCTTCAAAACGTGTCCTATTTTTTAAATTTTTTTAACGACCCCGACACTTTTTGGACACTTGGAGGACACACATGTCAATCACTTAAACACAAATGTCTATCTATTAGACACATGTGAAACTAATTATAAGTTTGAACAAAACGACTTAAGATACAATAATAAAATAAAAACCATATAAATTTATAGGAATTAGTGTCATATTGCATTTTTTTATTATTTTTGAATGATATATTTATATATGTAACATATAACCAATAAATAAAATTATATATTTCATGTGTGTCCCCCATGTGTCATGTCCTGTATTTTTTGAAAATTAACGTGTGGGCGTGTCTGTGTCGTATCCGTGTCGTGTCACGTGTCTGTGCTTCCGTGTCGTGTCACGTGTCCGTGCTTCTTAGGTTTTGGTCATATCCTATAGATTCTAAAGTATCATTAAATATAGATTCAAAATAACTCTTCAACCCTTCCCTAATCTCATCTTTCTTAATTAGCAGTTCCTCATCTTTACCCTTGATACAGTTAAAAACAGTTTAGTTTTCTACAATTTATTTCTCTTAGCAAGTTAATACATTTTCTCATCTAACTTAAAATAGAGGTCATTAATATTATAAGCCTTCAATTTAGTCTCCCTAAACTATGTTCTTAGCTTCAGTTTTAGCTACTCTTTTAATATTTTTGTTATTTCTACATGTATAGAAAGTTTAGGGACGATATCTTTTTGTTTTGACTACCTTTTGAATCTCTTTGTTCAACCACCAAGTTTTTCTGGATGGTGGCTCACTTCCTTTACACTCACCAAGAACCTGACAACTAGCCATTTCATACCGCATAGAATTAATTTCCTTATTCAGAATTTATTTTCTTTGCTTAATACATACATCTAATATTGTTGACCCATGAGGTGTAAGGATTCTCTCTTTATCTTTTAATACATACATCTAATATGGTTGACTTATGAGGTTTAGGACTCTCTCCTACTCTTACTTTACCATCCTTACATGTTCCTTTATGAACTCTCCTAGTAAGAAAGAATTCTATTTTGCTAATATTTGTTCCAATTTCAAATGTTATCATGTGTTCTTCCTACTTCTTGAAGCATGTGTTTACTATTACAGTCGTATGCCATTGCAAGCTCTATGAAAGCACTACTTTTTCATCATTTCACTCTCCACCCATGCTGTACTCTCATATCCCCCACCATACCGTGTGGCCTGAGATCCTTCTGTAAAACTCTCTCAACTGGGGATATCCCTTGTAGCTTGTACTGATCTAATCCTATTTGGACACTCTTCTCCTAACATTAATCTTACTAATATTATTTTGTTATCTTCTTTTAAGCCCAGCCATTTTTTTTTTTAAATTTTTATATGTGATTGATTATACCAACTCTATTCCTATATTTCTCTTTTTCAATGTACCAAAGTTCATATCCCGTTCTTTCATTTTCCCTATATTTTCCCGCATCTAATTTCCTAAGTGCATCATACGCTGTTGCACTAACTTTTGATAAAATGCGGGTACCCTTGCCTACTTGTCACCACACTCAGGCATCGATGTGGTGCATCGCTTGAGGAATGCCCTAGTTAACCCTTGCGTATCTAGGGAACCCCAACAAAAGAATTTTTAGTATCTATGTTCATGAAGGTGTGATTATGAGGTTGTATTTGGATTGGGTTAGGAACTTGTTAAGGAAAGGAAAAAGAAAGGTAGATGAAACTATTTATTTGTTTCTTCCGTGTCGTTTACCAAACATAGCCTCAAGTTTTATGTTTGCTGTTGACCTACCACAACTTTCCTTCTTTATCCGGGCTTGGACTGGCAGCTGTGTCAAAGATAAAACATTTAAGGACACAAGTGGAGTTATGATACAAGGGGAAAAATTTGAGGAATGTAACCTTGTTAACTCATGTTACTAGTGTGCAGTGTGTTTGCCTGTTCACAGATTCCATTACTAGACAAAGTAATTTTTATTTTTATTTTTTGGTCTGGTTTTCCTACAGGTCGAGTCAAATGGGACAGTGCTGTCCACAAACTGGAATGATGTGGGTTCCAAGGTGGTGGAAGGAAGCCCTCCAGATGGTATGGAGATGAAGAAATGGGAATACTAAACTCTTGTTCTATTTGGCTTCATTGTAATTTTGGTGTGAGGATTCTGTTTGCTTTTGAATTTGTCTATAATTTTAGGGGAATCCAAATATTTTATTTAATACATAAAACTGTTATATGCTGAAATGACACATCGGTGCTCCACGTTAGACTTGGCATCAAGGCATTGTTGAATACGTCACTGAATAGTGGAGATATCTAGTGTTTATGGACAATTTTTTTGGTTTTTCCTTCGATGAAACGTTTTCCTTGTTTGATGAACTTCTGTTGTTTCGTCTTCGACAATTAATTTATTTAGAAGTTTGCCTTTTTCTGGTAGTTTTTATTGGCTATTTTTATTCCTTGTCGAATGTTTCAGATTGCATCTTGATCCCATTCAATTGCCACAGTTGCATGATTTTGTTTAGAAGGCATTATTTTGATGATTGAATGCCCTCCCTGTATGATTTTGGAGTTGTAACCATAAAATGGTTGCCGTATGGTTGTCTAAGTAGTAATTGGATAACCAATGGCAATGAAAGATGATCGGACAAGCCTAATACATTCTCAGGTATCCGATTTGTTATTGAGGCATTAGATTTAAAACATTTAATTCTCAACTAAATACTCTTTGACTAGATCTATTACAAAGTGTGTGAATGTTGCTTAGTGTCGTTGTAACAGAACCAAAAGAAAACTCGTTAGAAATTAGGTGGTGCAGTGAGCAGCAGGGTCAGACACTAGGAAAATTCCATCATAAGTGAAAGTGGTTTTCATGTATGGTATATAAAAAAAATAGATCATTAGATTTAAATAAGCTAAATGTTACCTATTGGATGAATCAAACATAAAACTAGGTAGAAAAATGTGGTTTTTCAGAAAGTAAAGTAGTTTTGGTTAATTTTGAAATATATATATATATATATAAACATATAAATATATATATTTGATACTTATCATTTGTTACAAACATATTTACTATTTGGTATTCATTCATTTACTATTTGTTATGAATAAATTTACTATTTAAAATATTATCTGCTAAACAGGTCACTTTCAACTCTTTAAAATTGTGTCCTTTTTCATATTTTAAATTAATTTTAAATACATAAAATTAATGACATATCATATTTACATTTAAGGGTCTGTTTGGTATATAATGTTATTGTGTCTTATTGATTGATAAGTCATGTTTAATTAAGTAGTAAGTATAATTTAATTGAATAGTAAGTGAAAACTCAATTAATAGTAATTAAAGTCTAATAGAGTAGTAAGTAGAAATTGGAATATCTCTTTGAGTAATAACTTCTTGTATGGTAGAACAAGCAAGTGGCTATAAGAATGTTGGGTTCATACAAAAAGATATGTGCAACCATTTTGGGACTCAGCGTAGAGTGCAAGTTGTCAATGGTGATGCAAAAGATGCTTTGGCTTACTATCAATTGTGATAGTACTTATCACTTGTTATGACAATACTTATCACTCTTAAATATGATACTTAGGCTTCGTTTGGGAACATGCTATTTTAGTATTTTTTTGATTTTTTGGCTAAAATATGAGGTAAAAAAAACTAGTATGTTTATGATAATTTTTTAACTTTTTACGAAAAGATGTGTAAAAAGTAGAGAGAAAATGAAATCTTTGACTTTTTGGTATAGATTATAGTTTTTTGATTTTTTTAGTAACTTTTTGATTTTTAGGCTAAAACAGCTACTTGCCAAACAAGGCCTTATTGTTTGTTTTAATTCTAATTATTAATCAATGGTTTTCAGTAGTCAGATGTTTGATTAAATAATAAGTCAAGTCATATTATTTATTCTAATTCTACTTATCACTCAATAGTTGTCAATAGTCAAATGTTTGATTAAGTAATAAGGCTAATAGAATTGTAGGTGAGGTCTCATTGAGTAGTAAGTGGACTTTAATTAAGTAGTATGTTAAGTCTAATGAAGTCATAAGTGAAATCTCCTTAACTAGTGAATGCGGTTTAACTGCGTAGTTAGTCAAATTTAATGAAATAGTAAGTGGATTCTTATTCAGTAATAAATGAGATCATATTATAACACTCTCTAAAGTTGGTTATATTTCTATCTTAGCATTTGTTTTGAAACAACTTATCACTTAGTATGACACTCTCTAAATGAAATTTTATTTAATAGCAAGTCAATTTTGATGAAGTAGAAGGTTGAGTATCAAACGTTTGATGGAGTAGTAGTCTAATGGAGTAGCAAGTAGAGTATGTGGAGTATCATTGACTGGAAAGTGATATTTGATTGAATAGTAAGTCAAGTTTGATGGAGTAGTAATTAAGTGGAGTTTAATTGAGTGCTAAATGAAGTTTCATTAAGTAATATGTTGAGTCTAATAGAGTAGTAAGTGGAGTCTCATTAAGTGGTAAATAAAATTTCTTTGAGTAATAAGTCGAGTCTAATGGAATAGCAAGTGGAGTCTCATTTAATAGTAAGTGAAATTTTATTGAATAATAAATCAAGTCTGACGGAGTAGTAAGTATGGTTTAATATGAGGAGTAATTCAAGTTTAATGAGATAGTAAATCGCGTATCATTGAGTAGGATAGATTAAATGAAGTGGTGTCTTATTAAGTAATTCATGTTTGATTGAGTAATGAATGAATTCAATTGAGTAGTTAGTAGAGTAAGTTAAGTGTTAGTAAGTAGTAAGTAAGGTTTGATTCAATAGTAGGTCAAGTCTTATTGAATAATAAATAGAGTATAATTGAATGGTAAACAAAGTCTAATAAAATAGTAAGTAGAGTTTCATTGAGTAGTAAATGAGATTTAATTAAGTAGTAAGTCAAGTCCAATTAAGTAGTAAGTCATATTTAATTGAGTAGTAAATAAATTTTGATTGACTAGTAAGTGGAGTCTCTCATTGAATAGTAAGTGGGGTTTAATATGATACAACTAAGTGTGATTTAAATGAGTAGTAAATCAAATCCAATTGAGCAGTGCCTTTTTAAGTAGTAGTGAAGTTTAGTTTGATTGTATAGTAAGTTGAGTTTCATTGAGTAATAAGTAGTGTTTAATTGGATTATAAGTAAAGTTTGATGGTGTAGTAAGTAAACAATTAACGGATATTAAGTAGAGTGAAGTTTAATTTAGTAGTAAGTAGAGTTTCATTAAGTAGTAAGTGAACAATAATGAAATAGTGAGTGGAAGCTCATTGAGTAGTAAGTGAAACCAAAATTGAGTAGATAGTGGAGTCTATTAAACTAGTAAATGAAAGCTTAATAAGTAGTAAATGAAACCAAAATTGAGCAGTAAGTGACGTGTAATGCAATAGTAAAGGGAGACTCATTTCTATAATAAGTAAATTCTAGTGAAATAGTAAGTGGAAGCTCATTGAGTAGTAAGTGAAACTAAAACTGAGTAATAAGTAGAGTTTAGTGAACTAGTAAGTGGAAACTTATTAAGTACTAAATGGAAGCTCAACGAGTATTTTTCAACTTTTTTGGGACAACGATAAATCCGATGAAATAGTAAATAGAATCTAATTGGGGGTTCGTTTGGGAAGAACTTTATTAGCTTGACTTTTTTGCTTTTTGACTAATTTAGCCTAACTAAATTAGCTCTGTTTGGAAATAACTTTTTGGATTTTTTGCTTTTTTGTGAGAGAAAAAATGAAATGATTATAGTTTAGATGTGACATTTTGTCTTATTAACTTATTTAGTTTATTTATCTTTTTGTATTTTTTTAGTCCCAACCCATTTGCCAAACAGTAGCTGAGTAGCAAGTGAGATTTAATTAAGTAACAAGTTAAGTCCGATTAAGTGGTGTCTTATTGAGTAGTAAGTTATGTTTGATTGAGTAATAAGTGGAGTTTGATTGAGTAGTAGTGATGATATGATGGTGGTCGTGGTGGTGGTAGTGGTAGTGGCATGGTGGTGGTGATCGTGGTAGTGGTGGTAGCGGCATGGTGGTGGCAGTAGTGGCATGGTAGCGTTGATGGTGGTGGTGTTGGCAACTGTGGTAGTAGAGGTAGCGATAGTAGTGGTAGTAAAATTTTAGTGATATTTATGGAAACAATGATGAAGGTGGTGGTAGTAGTAGTAGTATGGTGGCAATGGTGGTAGTAGTAGTAACGGTGGCAATGGTAATGGTGGTGATGGTAGTAGTAGCGGGGGTTGAGTACTAAGTTATGTAAATTATTTTTATTTGTAAAATGATATCACATTGTTTAATGTTTGAGTAAGTTATGAGTAATATTTTATGATTATGTTATAAAATTACTTCTTTAGTTTGATTTGATTTTAAGATTTTTATAATTTCATTCTAAATTTTAAAAATCAATAAGTAATCGTTTGGTCATTAGTTTATTTTTAAACCAACCAAATTAAATCATGCTCACTCCTAATAAAGAAGTTTACTAATAGGACTCTAATTACCATTCGTTGCGAGTTAATTTACTACTAAATACAATTAATCTTATAAGTTTGATATAATTGTACTCATAATCAATAACACAACTAGTTATAATCAAAGATCACAAAGTTCATAACTATTCATTAAAATCCGAGTGAGGGTTACTTATGTCGGGAAAAAACTAATTTCTATTTCATATTTTTATTTTACTACTTACCACTCATTATGACTTTACTTATAGTTCATTCTAATTTTACTTACCATTCAATAGTAAGTTGGGTCTTGTTGAGTAGTAATAGTAAGTAGGGTCTTATTGAGTAATAACTCATATTTGATTAAGTAATAAGTCAAGTTTGATAGAGTAGTAGGTGAAGTATCATTGAGTAGTAAACTAGTCTTATTGAGTGGTAAGTGAGATTTAATCGAGCAGTAAGTCAATTCTCATTAAATAGTAAGTAGAGTTTAATTAAGTAGTAAGTAAAGTCTAATGAAATAGTAAGTGCAATCTTACTAAGTAGTAAGTGATATTTAATTAAGTAGTAAGTGAAGTCCAATTAAGTGATGTCTCATTTAGTAGTAAAATTTCGAGCGCTTTGGTATACAAATCACCATACGGGTTAGTGTTCAATTCAGCTAACAGCAAAGTGAGAGTGCATATATCTTCTAGTAGGTAGAGTTTGATTGAGTAGTAAATAGAAATTCACTGAGCACTAGGTGAGGTTTAATCGAATAATAAGCGAAGTCTAATAAAATAAGAGCAAGCTTGTCTCTAGTCTACAAAGTGGATTGAACAGTATTGTTGAGCCTGTGGGACCCATCACGGGTCTCATTTCGATAATCCAAACTATTTAAAAATCGGATGTACAATAAGTCTCGTACTTTTCTATAAATTTTATTTAAAAAAAGTTTGTTAATGGACTAACATGTAGAATTATGAAAAATGATTGAGGCTGTTTTT